GCTAAGACCAACACCACAGATATAGAAACATCTACACATTTTAGTATGAGGTGATAGAGCAGCCTCTGGGCATTAAACTGATATATTCCATATTCCCATAGTCCATGTAGTGGTGGAGATATTGTGGTTTAAACAATGGAGGGTTCTATGGGACGATAATACCGTATTAGGTTAGCGTATATTTTCTACAGCAGCGCTAACCTGTTACAGTATTATCGTCCCAAAGTCCCGGTCAGCGCAAGGAGTGGTTAGATGTGGATGAAATCATGCATGCTGGCTCTCTACCAAACATATTCAATGCTATCTAAGTTGCAGGTCAGTGGAATAGAAATTACGTTGTCAATCTACCCCCATTTACTTGAGGAATTGGCTTTTAGTTTGACCTGGAATTGGCTTTTTTGGTGAGAACTTGGCAAGACTTGGCAGGGCTTGGCAGGGCTTGGCAGGTTTTAAAACCCAAGTAAGATCACGTGATAAAAGCCAGGTAAGATTATGTAATCTGACCCGACTTTTCTTACATAATAGAACAGTATTAACTATATGTTGGGCACTAGTTGCCCAGGCGGCCCTCCACCGCACGTGATTACCCCTATATAGTTAGCTAGCGATCGCACAATGAGAAGATCAACCATCCCACAGGTTATGGCCCGGATTGCAGATTTTTAAGAAAAACAGACGTTTTGATTAGAATACGCTGCGACTGATGTTATATTGGATGAGTTAAACATTATTCCCCTGAAAAGAGAGCTCTTTGCCTATAAAAGTGGTGTAATTGACGGAATTGCTGTCGAGACTGCTGCAGAGATTTCATTACTATCCTTGAAGGGATCAAAAACGTATTTATTTATTTTCATTCAGAACCTCCCTAAGTCAGATTGATTATGAGTGGTTCTCGATTACCTGCGACCCCAATATCAGGACGTAAGAAGACACTACGTTCGCAATCAAGGGTCCCCCAATCCTTCCCCCCTATTACTGAGCAAGAATCCGGCTCAGAAGCGGAGGGTGATCAAACTGAATACGCGATGGCAGAGGAAGATATGACAACCTCTGGCTCAGCACACGATACTGGCAAGATGCCAGAACGCGAGGAATCCGAGGATGGCACGCCCAGTCCTATGCCGATACCTACGCCGAATCCTAACGGCATGGTGACCATGGCAGCAGCAGATCTCATTGCACTCTGCGAGCGACTGATATCAGCACGCGCGCCGCCACCTCCTCCACCTCCTCCACCACCTCCACCTCCTCCGAACCCTATACCAGAAGAAGATCCGAACATGCTGGCTCGCGAATACCAGAAGGAAGCGCAGGCCTCGTTGAACACAAAGTCCGTCACCACGTTCGATGGCACCAACTACCAGACGTGGAAGATGGCGTTCTTGTCGGATGCAGAAGTGATCGGTGGTGCAGATATTCTTAATAAGAACCAACAGGAACCACCTGAAGGTTTATCATCGCTCGATCAGCGATATTGGGTGATACGTTCAAAACTTCTCTTCCGTCGCATGTTGCAATCCCTAGTAGGTTCTGTCCGTTTGACCATGGGATCCATTCAACCCGACAACGCGGCGGCCCTATGGAACAAGGTAAGCGCAGTATACGCGATATCCCTAGGGGAAGAAAGGATTAACATCCTTAAAGAATTTACCCACTTGCATGTCAAGGACGGTGATTACCTGGCATACGTACGCCGATATCAATACCTGTCTGCTCGCATGCGACAACTAACGGAGGACCGTGGTGAGAACTACCTCCATGATTTCTTTATTATCGGCCTCCGAGATTATCAGAGGACCTATGTTAAATCACGCCTCGATACGTTCTACGGGATGGGTCAGGGTCCGATTGTCAACCTAGATATCAACGATCTCACAAAACAAATTGCTCACCGGATGAGTAAATCAGAGGGTACTGGACGCCCTAAAGCTCCAAAGGCCAACGCGGCCACCAATGATAATGACAACACAACTTCCGCCGCAACCGCAAAGTGCGGATACTGCAAGGTCCCAGGGCATATAAAGGCTAATTGCTATCATCTGAACCCTGACAAAGCACCCGAGTGGTGGAGGAAAGAGAATAAGGATAATAAGGGCACTGACAACACTGAAGGTGCCAAAAAGAAGGGAAAGGATAAGAAGAAGGACAAGGATGACGACAAACGTACTGGCACCAGAGCGCCAGATCTCCTTGCATCGCAACCTAATGCCAACGCAGCAATTGCTTTATCTACGTCGTCCGCTACAACATCCAAACCTTGGTATCTCGACACCTGCGCAAGCTTCAATATGACGGGTGAAAGGCACTCGTTGGTGCGCGCAAAGTCGTTCGAAGGTGATTTAGAAATTACTACCGCGGACGGTGGCGTAGGACGGGTTGAGGAGATAGGTGATATCCTTCTAGAATCAGAAGGGGGGGATATCTCAGTGGGTTACGTCCACTGGATCCCCAATCTAACAGTCAACCTTCTATCCTTTGCGAAGCTAGAAGATCAAGGCTTCAGATACCAACTATCAGATACCACCCCTTCCTATTTTACAATAAGGGCCCCGAACGGTGCCAACTTCACCGCTGTTCGCACGTCCAAAGAATCGGTCTACAAGATAATAGAACGAGAATCTCAAATAGACGTCCATCACCCGTCCCAGGCCGTCCATTTTATGGCCAAATCTTACAATTACGGGGACGCAATGTCGACAATCGCGGGGAAACCTAACAATGAACCTAGCGATCGCAACCCCCTGACAAGAACACTGTGGG